CTTTACCTTGTTTGAGGCAGGATGCTTGGCTCCCGGTGGGATCTGACATTGATGAAGCAGAAGTTCAGACCTGAGACTGGGTATTAAGAGGGCAGACAGCCTTGGGTTGTGGGGAGAGAAAGAGGGGTGCGCTCTGAGACAGAAATACTTCTTTGGGTGTCGTTCTACATGGGGCAAAGGGAGAAGGTACAAATATTCTTCAGATGCACGTGCACATGCGTATATATGTATTTTGGTGTGTAAACGAGTCACTCTTTGTATACCTGTGTGTATCTGTGTATGTGTGAATCTGTATATGTGCATAAATCTTTGAGTCAGTGTGTATTTGTGTGTTGTCTGAGGGTGTACATTTTGTACATCTCTGTGTATTAATGGATAGACCTGTGTGTCTGTGGACACCTATGAAGCTCTGCACTGTAAGATGCGTGAGTCTGTGTGTGCACGCATGTGTGTACTTGTGTGTCTTTGGCCAGTATGTTTTGGGGTGTGTATACATGTTAGTATGTGTCTGAGCACATCTGTGTACAGGTCTACGTTTGTGTACGAACATGTGTGTGTGCCTGTCCAGGCATCTGATGGGATGTGGAGTTTCAGGAACAAAAGGAACAGTTTCCCAGATGTGCTTTCTTTCTAAAGGTTCTGGAGGTGGTGGAACAGGACAGGGTCAGAGAACCCCAGGGGAGGAGGGTGGCAAAGAAGCAGCAGGGCTGAGTTCCCTGAATATGAGCAGGCCTCTGACAACGGGACCATGGGTCTTGGGCTTGCCATGGATCTCACCAATGCTGGACCTCAGGGACGGCTTCTGGTGAAGAGGCCTGTCCTCCACAGAGGGGTGTGTCCCTCAGCCTTGGGTGCAGTTTGTGTCAGGAAGCTGCTAATCACAGCATGTCAGTCTCCCTGAGGGCATGGAACGGGAACTGCCTGGGGGTCAGGCCCCCACCCAGGTCCCTGCATTGCAGACTGCAACAAGCGAATTCTTTTTCGTGTATGTGTGAAGAAGATTCACCCTGAGCTCACATCTATGCTAATCTTCCTCTCGTTTGTATGTGGGATGCCTCCACAGCATGGCCTATAAGTGGAGTAGGTCCACACCCGGAATCCTAACCTGCAAACCCCAGGCCACCGAAGCAGAGTGTGTGGAACTTTAACCACTGAGCCACAGGGCGGACCCTGCAACAGGGTAATTCTTGACACTCTGCTTCTGAAAGAACAGTGGAATCTGGCTTTCAGGGGTGGGAGGGATAGGCAGTAAAGGAAGCTCTGCATAGGGAGCTCTGGGACTGGGATTTCGGCTAAATGGCAAGCGCCCACTTACCTCCTTGTTGGGGACTTGGTTCTAGCCAATCCCAGTCACCCAATATCTTGCCAGCCAAGACTGGAGGTAGAGGGAGGACAGGGAGAGGAGGGGGCTTAGACCTCTCCAGATTGAAGCTTGCTTGAGGCAGGCAAGTGTAGATAATGTGTCCCTCAAATATCCAGCACTGTCTGTTATTGGGCTCAACTTTAACCATTACATATTCATTCCTTTGGTTGTTTAGGCCTTTCAGTCTTGAATAGCCTTTGATTAAAAAGCAAATACTCTTAGGAGAAGAAACTCCAAGGGCCTTATCTCTTAATGGGTCTGGGAGGTTGATTGGTAACTTGCCGAGAACGAGGTTTTGCCAGAAGGAACACAGAAGTCAAGGATGTGTGTCACTGTCAGTGGGCATGGGGAGAGGGTGGTTGTGGAGAAGAGAAGCCATTGAAAAGGAGAGAAGGAAGCAGAGAGTGCAATGTTCACCATTTTTTCTTGCTGGGGACCGAGGTAGACTGTGTTTCCTGGTATTCCTTGCGTAAGTTGGGCTCTGCAGCATGCTACTGGATGTGGCCAATGCGATGTGGGAGGAAATGATGTAAGTCTCTTTCTGGCCTTTAAATGACCCCCTATGATCTTCCTGTTCTCACTGTCCTTGCCACAGGGATCTGGGGGTCCCCGTGTCCCTGAAGGCATAGCTACCCGATGGAAGGGGCTGTCTGACCTGCTGTGTGTAGGAAACCTTGAGATTTTGCAGCCCACTTGTTACTGCAGCAGAACCTGGTTTAACACAACACATATAGAAAAGAAGGTGCCCAGGAATGTCCTAATTTTTCCCGGACAGACATAGCACAGAAGTCAGGATCCGAGCCACCAGAGTCACAAAGCTCTGGGTTCGAGTCCCAGTTCTACATTTCATTTTTCTTAGCCTTACTAAGCCTCAGTTTCTTCTTCAATAAAATAAAAGTTGAATTAGACAACATCTGTAATGCATATAACCCTCTGCTTTGCAATGGTGAGTTGTCACTAACTGTGGTCCTTCATGCAGAGTCATTAAGGAAGCAGTGTAGTGGTAGGAATGAGCATGGGTTCCAGTTTGAATTTCCATGTATTGCACATTTCTTCTTCTATGAAATAGGATTAATAACAAATCACAGCAAGCTCACCAGGGTTGGTGTGCGGGTCCATGTGATTATGTTGGTGACTGTGCTGAGGACACCAGGATGCAGGAGAGACAAGTTAGCTATTTTATCAGTACTGATGTCAACCCGAAGTCTAGCACACAGAAGTGCTAACTTAGTTCAGCTGTGGGGGGACAGCGTCAGGCTCACACACACGGGTTCAGGCCAGGAGGGGCTGATGCCCCCACAGAAGGACCAGCCCAGTGTGGGGAAGGGGAGGGCTGGGGGAGAGGGCCCCTCCAGGACACTGCTGCCTCCATCTCCTCCTCAGAGAACACCCACAGCCCCAGCCCAGGCTGCTGAGAGCTGGATTCACTGGGAATGCCTGTGTGTTTCCTGGTTGGAGAATGCACTGCTGTCTTCATTGAAGTGTCTCCTGGTCAGATCTCCAGACATGGTCTTATTCTGGAGGCTGCTCCTGGGGTGGTGTTATCCCACCATCCTGAGGGTGGAGATGAGGGCTGAAGGCAGAGTCAGGGAAGGGAGATGGGCCTTGTGTGTGGGGATCATACCCCTTCTCTCCCTGCGGTGGGAGATCATTGGGGTTAGGCCTTTGCAAGTGCCCACTGCTTGGTCGTCCCAAACTACTCCCAAAGCTGCCCACACCCCTTTTCTCTGCACCTTCCTTTAAGGGGCCAGCCCTCATCTACAGTTAAGTTCGTTTCTGCTAAGTCCTCATGGTTATGCCCACACTCCAACTTTCCTGGAGGCAGATTTACCGTGAAGTTAATGAAAAACACTTCAGGGATAAAATGTCTGTGACAGTTCACATTCCCACCAATAAAGCAGAAGAACCATGCATTTTGCACAAGCTCCCAAAGAGATTCTTAAATGCAGTACAGGATAGGAACCACTGGCTCTGAGACATCTGACAATGGCCTCCCAGGTTCCTGAAAGGGGTGACAAGAGAGAAGCTGGAGGGTAATGAGTGGTCTCCCCAAGAAAGTGAAGAAATGAAGGGTTCTTATCAGCCCTCCCACCTCCCTCAGGCTGTGGAAAACCTTCCTTCCTCTGGGGTACTTCCTCCAAAGTCCCTATATAAAATGTCACTGTGGGATGGAGAGAAGGAAGATCTGGGATTTGGGAATTCCTCAGGACCCGGGAAGACTTCTGGGCAGGTGAGAGCTTTCTGGTGTAGTGGAAGTTATTCCAAGTAAATGTTCATCTCCTGGGAGGCATTTGGCCTGGTCTGGGAGGTTCTGGAGGGCTGGCTGGGATTGTGGGTGGCTGTCAGGTTGCAAGGGGGTCAGCAGGGACAGGAATTCTCATCCTCTGCCTGTCACATTCCTTCTGAGTTATGTGAAAGGTCTCCTTGTCTGGGGAACCAGAGATGCACATGTGCTTTTTGAGCTTTGAGGAGGGAACCCACTTTCTAAGCGCTGTGTGGCCTAGGAAGGCCAATAATCATTGTTTCTGGATTCTCTTTGTTTCGTAGACTGTGAGGGGCTTATTAAGTGCAAAACATAAAAATCATATTCCTCTCTTCACGTTCAGGTCCACGGGAAAGCCAACCTTGTCTGCCCCTCATGGTCTGCTTCATTCTATTCAGATAGAAGTGCTAGCATCCTGGAGAATCAAAGGCTGGGCTCAGCATTAGCTTTTCTGGCCCATCCTGGCTTCTATTCATGCCTGCTGTTTCTTTTCCTCACTCCCAATGTCCCTAATGGTGTGGCTGTGGGGTTAGTGTGTGTGTGTGTGTGTGTGTGTGTATGTGTGTGTATGTGTGTGTTTAACAAACTATGTTCTCCATTGCAGGAAAAAGCCAACATGAAACTCTCCCTATTTCTGGCTGTTCTATTTGGGGCAGTTTCAGCTCTTCATCTGGGTAAGTCTCCTTAGTCTTCAGTCTTTTTTTCTCTCCTCTGCTCCTTTCTAATGTATGTAGGGTCAGAGTCACAAAGCCATCTCTTTTGCTGGCCATCCTGTATTTCAAGATGTCTGCATTTAAAGGGACAGAGACTGTAGAACCTGGAGCTAGAGGGACTCCTCGGGGCATCTGTATATCTGCAGCCTCATTTGTAGTATGACATTCTCAATTTTGTCCTTTATAGATAATGCCCATGATGATCACCATAATGACTTTTTTTTTATTTTGAGCTCACCAATGTACTGTGCTAAGCATTTTTCTATGCATTATCTCCTTTAATCCTCATAGCATCCCCATGAGGAATGTAGTATTGTATACCCATATTGCAAATGAAGTAAAGCTAGTAGATGATGGAAATCAGTACCCAAACCCACAATGGCCTGATGCTAAGGTCTTGATCTTCACCCTCATGACCTCATGTGGGGAGCCTAGGTTGTCCTCATGGAGGCTCGGTTCTAGGTTCCTCTCTTTCCAAGGCTGAGCATTCTGATGGCTAGGGCAAGGAGGGAACTGTCCATGGTTCTAGAGAGGAACGGGAAAAGATGTGAGGGGGTGCAGTTGGACTTTCTCTCTGCCAGGGACTGAAACGTCCAACTTTGAGGGCCCCTTTGGAGGTGAGATCCTGCCTTAGGATGGGGAGATGCCAGAACACGGGACAATGGAGGCTCCTATGGAGGGACTGACGCTGCTGGAGGAAGAGGAGGGGTGAGGATCTGGATGTGAAGATGCCCCTGAGGAAGAGGGGGCTGTCAAATCAGTCTCAGCCCTAGAAGAGGCGGAGAAAGGCTTTCAGTGTCCTAAGGAAGAGGATAGTGTCAAACAGGTGGGCATCCCTGGATGCAAGAGCTACCGCTTTGTTGTGGTGACGAGAGCCATGACGTTTAGTCAAGCTCAGGTGAGTGGCCTGTGGCTGAGGCTGAGTCCAGGGGTGTGGAGGAAGGCAGGGAGGGGATGTCCCCAGCCTCTGAGTCACTGTTTATTTTCCTCACTGAGAACCATGGGGGTGTCAGCAGGGGCTGAGTCTCACAGAAGTGTTAGAGGTGGGTAAGAGGGGGTAAGAAGTGAGGGTCAAGTGGAAACAGAAGTTACGTTTTGATCTCCCATCTTCAAATGGCTGTGTGATTGGGTTGGGGAGTGGGGGAATGAATTGTGGAGACTTCAAGATCCAGGGCTCACATCATGTGTATTCCTGAGGAGGGGCATCCCCTTTTTCCTTTTTGATCGTGCCTTGCAGTATACTTGGCAGAAGTGCTACTGGGGCAGACTCGTCTCCATCCATAACCTCATCTTTACCTACCACATCCAGTGCTCAGCCAGAAGTGTCAGCCAGGGTCAAGGCTGGATTTTAGGCATGAGCACAGGCTGGGTCAGAGGGGTCCCAGATCTTAATGGGGAGCCCCTTCTGACCCAAGCCAGTGCTCAACATGCTGCAGATTTCTTTGTGCTTCTGTTCTCTGATCCCCTGAATAATTGGGGAGAGTTGGACACCTGGGCATGAGAGCAAGGTGGCTACCTAGGCGTCAGGAAGAGCCAAGGCTTTAAATGAGTAGGTTTGGGTTCAAGTTCTGCTCAGCCTCTGACTGTCTGTATGACTTGGGCAAGACTATGAGCCTGGGTCCTCATCTCTAGAATGGGGTTGAAACTCCTGTCCCGCATCTTGTTAGGGTCAGAAGGATGAGTGTGTCATGAGGATGCATACAATGTGATGGTGCTGATCACTGTGGATCAACATTTTGGTTGACAAGGACTGTGTCCATGATGGTCCAGCAGAGAAGTCAAATGCCCAGCAGGCAGCAGGAGGATCAGACAGGGACAATTCCAGCTCTACCTCCTGCTTTCCCTTTGCCTCATGCTCCAGCCCACCTTCTCCCTTCCTCTCTCGTCTAGGGCTGCTGCCAGCGCTTTTACTGGGTTGATCGCAGTGTTTGGAAGATTTGGTACCTGGCTCTCGGCCAACCCCTGGCTTCTGGTGGCAGCTGTGTGTCCATGTGGAACTGAGGTGATGTGGAAGTGGGGATGAAAGATGATAAGGCATGGGAGGTGGGACGTTTCGGAGGTGGTGCTAGGAAGATCAGGACCCTCCAAGGGAGAGGCCTTCTGAATCTTCAAACTTCATTTCCACTGAAGTGTGGGGGCTGCTGGAATGTCTTGGCTTTGTAGGCATCCTCGTCGCCTGGGCGTCGCTTGTGTTTGTCATCAAGACAGAGCATTACTTTGAGGAGCTGTGTGAACCAAATGCCTGGCTCACGGGCAATACCACACTGACGGGCAATGCCACGGGACAGACTGGTAAGAGAGTGATGACTTCTCTAGGAGGCTGAGGCTGGTTCTCACTTGGTGGGAAGGGGAAGGGAGGACTTCATCTCCTGCCCACCCTGCCAACCTTTCTACAATGAGAGAAAGGAGGTGTCAGCCTCCCCTGTCCCCTACCCCTCAACCTCAGTCTAGGAGGTGCCTGGAGAGAGAAGTACTAGCTCCTGAGGGGTAATTAGAGGCAGCCACATTTCAACTCACTGAAGGGAGAACTTTCCACCAGCCAGCTGTCCAAGACCGGAGAGGCTGCTCTGGAGGGGGCCAGGCTGGGAGCCCACCTGGCAGGAAGGCTGGGCTGGATGGGAGGTTGGCCCACCCACTCTGGCTTCTGAGATCCCCCTTTCCGGCCTCCAGACTTCAAAGCCCAGGATGAGAAGTTCTCGCTCATCTTCACCCTGGCGTCCTTCATGAACAACTTCATGACGTTCCCCACCGGCTACATCTTTGACCGTTTCAAGAACACTGTGGCCCGCCTCATAGCCATGTAAGTCCCAAAGGCCCAGTCTGGGTGGAGATGAGCAATAGGAATTCTTCTGACATTAGCCTCTCTTGGAGGGAGTCTCAGACAAGGCAACTGGGCAGCCCTGCAAGGCACTGCCTCAGCAGATGTGTGAGAAACAGCCCAGAGGGTGAAGTTGGCTAGACCTGCTCTCTTCCCACACCCCTACTTCCCTTTCCTTGCCTCCTTCCTCTGCTAGGTGTGAATGTTTGTTCTATATGACAGGCTTTCTGTGAGGGCTGGCCTGGGGCCCGGGGTTATGAAATTAGCAAAAGTTAAAAATGTCACTCTGCCTTCATCCTGGGGACCCTTGTGTATAGCTCCTACAAGGCCTCATGGCCAGGTTGCTCAGACTTAAATGTCATCTTCCTCACCCCACCGTCACTCCCCAGAGACTTAGCCAATGAGGTTTCCTGGGACCTGCAGTGGTGGGATATCAGGACCCCTGGGTCTGGAGGGAAGGCAATGGGGTTTCCCATGCAGATGAGTCAAAGAGGCCAAGGGACTTGCTCTCGCTCACCCAGGGTGCCACTCCAACTGGCTTGGGTCAGTGATAAGCAGTGCCCTGCTTGGAGCTGATAGAACCCAAAGCAAGCAGCCCCTGGCATGCTTGTGAGAGATCAGTTGTCAGAGGGACTGGAGGGCCGGCTGGGCCAGGAAATAGCCAGGTCCCTTGGTCTTTAAGTGCTTGGCACGTTATGACTTTGTCTCGTCTCTCTTGGTGTTTGACTTCCTCTCCTCCTCTTCTCTCTCCTCCCTGTGCTCCCTGCCTCTTCTCCAGCCTCCATGTGTTAAGAAAAACTCAGTCTTCCTGTGTTTCTCCTTTACTTTTACGCACGATACTTCACACCCAAATGTGTGTGTGTGTGGGGGTGTTCCCACACCAAGCCATCCTGCGACTACAGCTGGGTGACCTACAATTTAAGTCAATTCTGACCTCATCTTCCTGGAGATAGAGTCAGATCCCACAGGTAAGGGCTTAGTCCCACGAGACTGCCCCACTTCAGACACCAGTCGCAAGTGGTGTGTACCCTGGTTGCCCACAACTTCTGTCTGACTTGGCTACACAGCGGAGGTTCCCATGACCTCCTCCCCCTTGGGTTCAATTGTTTGCTAGACCAGCTCCCAGAACTCGGGGGGAAACTTACTTATGTTTACCAGTTTATTAAAGGATGTGATAAAGGATACAGATGAATGGCCAGATGAAGAGATATGTAGGCGAGGTCTGGGAGGGTCCTGAGCCCCGGAGCTTCTCTCCCTGGGAAGTTGGGGTGTGTCACCCTCCTAGTAGTGGATGTTTTCACCAATCTGGAAGCTCTCCAAAGCCTCTATTATTGGGGTTTTATGGAGGCTTCCTCAAGTAGGCATGATTAATTACTCCATTTACAGCCCCTCTCCCCTCTCTAGGGAATTGGGGAGCGGGGCTGAAAATGCCAATCTTCTAATTATGGCTTGGTCTTCCTGGTGACCAACTCTTCCAAGAGCCATCCAGGAACCCACCCAGAGTCACCTCATTAGAACAAAAGATGCTCCTAGTGCTCTTATCACTGAGGAATTTGAAGGATTTTAGAAGTCCTGCGATAGGGACTAGGGACAAGGACCAAATAGACATTTCTTATTATAAATCACTGTATCACACTTAGGCAACAACTTTTATTACCCCATGTCTTATAAAACCCCCATCTTGCTAGAAGATCCCCATAACCTTTGGATTGTGGTTCTATAATCACAGAACCCTACAACTTTAAGCTTGGGTTCTAGGTCAGTTCAATCATTTCCTTTTATAGAAAAGGCCACTGAGGCCCAGAGAAGGGCAGTGTCTTAAGCAAGGTCACACAGCGAGTAGGAATTAGGACTGAAGGTTTTGATTTGTAGACCAGGCACTAACCCCTTTCTCCAAAGGTTTGGCCTGTTGGGACTCCCAGGTGGGAGGGCCTTGGATCCACCCACTTTGTCTCTGGCCAAGCCAGATAACCTTCTCCTGAACTCATTGCATCCTTAGCTGAGTTCGTAGCTCAGGGCCACATATCAATCACATCCGGGCTTCTGGCACCTGGTTCTGAGCCTGGGGCTCCAGAGGCATCCATGCCCATTGAACCCCTAGGCTGAGAATGCACTTTAGTGCCAAATTTGGAGATTGGGTGAGTAGAATTCTCAGTTTTGTCCTCCAGGTTTCCTTTTTCTTGACAACATACTCCATCCCCTTTTCTGTGTTTCAGATTTCTCTACACCACTGCCACGCTCACCATAGCCTTCACCTCTGCAGATGAGTACTGTCAGGGGTTGGGAGGGACACAAGCTCAGGGGCACCTGCTGGGTGGGGCAGTTGCCGAAGGTGATGGACAGGACACACTGACCCCCCCCCCCATGGTTATCAGAGAGCCACAGACTTTGAGCTTGAAAGAATCCTTGAGAGAGTTATTACTGGTCTATGAAAACAGTTTTACCTAGTGAGAAATGCAAAAAATAAGCACAATGAAGGGATTGCCTCAGAGAAAAGAATTTGTTCCAAATATTACATCTTTCCTCTTGTATGTATTAACATGTTCTCTCTCTCTTATTTCAACGAAATTATAATATTAATGGCTGTTGCTTTTGAAAATATCCTTACTTAGCAGGGTAAAAGTTGACAATCCTAGGTAGTCAAAAGTTTTCCTTTCAAATTTTACTGGTCTATAAATGTATAAAATTCCCAAAGTCTAGGAATTCCAAAGTGGGTTATTCCTGCTTTCCCCCAGTATGCAGAGGAGAAAACTGAGGCTAGAGAGAGACCCCTTGCAAAGACTTGCCCCAGGCCACAGAGCAAGTTAGTGGGAAGTGGGCCTGGGGTCCCCAGCCGTGCCTTCTCCTAGAATCTTGGTTATGCTGGCCAAAAGATGCCTTCTAACATTTCTCCCCAGCGTCAGATTGCGTGGCTCAATTTTGGGGATAGGAAGTAAAAGTACATAACTGTTGTGTGTGTAGTCCTTTGCTGAAGCCATATGGCATCATGAGTTCGTCTCCATTTGTGATCCGTAAACATGGGCTGAGTGTCTTTGATCTCATGAGATAGCCTGGCACCTCAAGCCAGTTATTTAAAACCACTATCCTCATCAAACCTGCTTTATCTTATCAAAGAGCCTGTAAATGATTTTTAAGTGGCTGAATGTGGAGGTGGTGGCTAAGTAAATTTGACTCACATTTGTGAATCATTTGATCACCAGTTCTCCCTTCCTCCATAAAACGGGGCTTTTGGTTTTTGGAAAAAGTGCTGGGGCCACAATGACCCAATTGTGAAAGGAATCTCACCCAACCTTAGGAGAGAGGTACATTTTATAAAGACAGAAATTGAATGGTAAATAGAGTGAATAGTCTAAAATTACGCTTTACAGTGCTTCTCAAGGTATAGAACAATAGTTACTTCAGAGGACATTAGGAGGCACAACCTTGCCGCGTTAAGCACTGAATCGTCTGGTGGAAAAATCATTCTTTTTTAATTTCTCTTTCAGTCCTCTGATTTCATGAACGAAAGTCTTGACACGGGGCCGGCATGAATTTAACACTATGGCAGGAGCAGGTTTCAAGCTTGGAACGTTCTGAGGGCAACTGCATCTAGTTACAATTTAATAACATTGTTTTCCTTTCATTGTATTTGTTTTTACAGTTCCTTTCTATTCTTGACAAGCAACATGAGTTGCTTTTCATTTACAGTAGTGATACAAAGTTTCCCTTAAAAATAATAGATTTCTTTTGGATATAAGGGAGTCAACGTAAAGAAAACATTTTGGCAAATAATAGGATGGGCATGGATTATGGCTGAAATCAGGAAAGTGCGCAGAAGTCTGTAGTTTGGGAAAGACTAATTTAGTAAGGGCTCCACACTGCTGGCATTTTAGTTCTATTATCGTCCAACACTTTCCAGACCTATCATAGTAGTTTGTTTGCAGGTCAGTCTGTTCAAGGGTAGGAAGTATGCTTAACCCATCCTTCATTTCCAATGCCAAGCACAATGCCCCATGAAGGAAGTGCTCAAGTTTGATGAACAAAGGAAAGAGTCTGTCCCATTTTCTCACTCATACATCCCATAAGGCATGGAGAGCAGGGACTGTTATTCCCATTTCACAGATAGGGTGACTGAGTCACAGATTCGGAATCCAGCTCAAAGTCATGCAGTGAATAAGAAGCTGGGCTTAGGGACGGAGTCCAGACATCTCTCCCCACAGTGTCAAGGATGAATAGAAGGGGCTGTTTGTGGTTGAATGAGAGAAGGGAGCAGTGACTTCACTTCGAATCTATCTGGAGACATCCAGGTCTGCAACAGACCAAGGACCATCTTTGGTAGGGAAGAAGGTGGCTCAGGAGACCTCTGCAAGGACATTTGGGGGAGCCTTGACCTGTACCCTACGACCTCGAAGGATGCTAGAATTAGGGCCCTGACCCCGGGATTGTTGGGAATTTGGAGCAAGTAGGAGCCAGAGTTTGTGGTTCCATGTTTGGGTTGCACTATGATACTGCCCCACCTCTGGTTTGATTGTTCCAGAATCAGCCCTGCTGCTCTTCCTGGCCATGCCCATGCTCACCGTTGGGGGAATCCTGTTTCTGATCACCAACCTGCAGGTGTGAGCCTGCCCTCATCCCAGGCGCCTGGCAGGAGGGTGGAGAGGGTGGAAGGAGGGAGAAGCACTTTTCTACATTGGCTACCTTAAATGGGGTTGGCCCAGGCCAGGGTGGTAGCTCCTGGGGTGGAGTGTGAGTCTGGGTATGATGAAGGCCTGGAACATTCTGGGTGTGCAGGAAATATTTATTTCATGAATAAATAAGTGATTCGGGTTGGTCACATTCTCTGCAGGTGGGAAACCTGTTTGGCAAACACCGCTCAACCATCATCACTCTCTACAATGGAGCATTTGACTCTTCCTCGGCAGTCTTCCTTGTCATTAAGTCACAAACAGCGGGGCCAGCCCATTGGCCGAGTGGTTAGGTTTGCATGCTCTGCTTGGGCAACCCAGGGTTTCGCTGGTTTGGATGCTGAAAGTGGACATGGCACTGCTCATCAGGCCATGCTGAGGCGGTGTCCCACATAGCACAACCAGAAGCACTCACAACTAGAATATACAGCTATGTACTGGGGGTCTATGGGGAGAAGAAGAAGGGGGAAAAAAAAGAAGATTGGCAACAGATGTTAGTCCAGGTGCCAATACTAAAAAACAAAAACAAAAATGTAAAAAATAGTAATAGCCAACATTTATTGAGCATTAATATATGCCAGACACTTGTCTTGTCAACTTTACATGATTTCTTTCCATCAACGCTTCTGCAGCTAGAAAACATGACACTTGAACTTGAGCCCAGGCCTGTCTGGTTCTAGAAGCTGAGCTTGTAACCATTAAACTTCTTCTTCACACTCCTGTAGGATTTTTGCACGGAGGCTAAGGGAAGGCACGGCCATGATGTGCCCGGGCCAGCGTTGGGCAGAGGCTTGGGGCCCTTTGCAGTGGGGTGTTTGTGCCTGTGAGCTTCTGGGTTGGACAGGGAGGTGGGAGGTGGCTCGTCGGGGCAGCAGGGGCAGGCACAGAGTCCTCTCCAGCTCTCCTAAAGGCTGAGGTTAGTGATCAGGGGATGGGCTGTTGCCAGTGCTGTTAGTAGCCCACCTAACAGCCATTCTCCCTTCTTCATTGCTAACATTTCATCTGGGCAGTGGTGTTGCCAGCCCAGGGGATGAATCCTGATGATCTCAGCCAACTGAGGCAGTCCATTTCCTCCTTGCTAATGAGAGTAGAGGTGGGCATATTCTCCAGTCCTTGTTAGTGAGGTGAAGGGGTTGTATTCACGAGGACTTTAGGGATATTTCTCTCCTTGTTGGAAGATGAAAGCAGAGCCAAAAGAAAGCCTTCCTCCCTGGTTCCCCTTTCCACCCTTCCCCTTTGAATGTTGTGGCAACTGTTTGAATGTTTGAATATAGCTGGAGCTGTGACAGCCATTCTGTGATTATGAGGCAACAAGCTGGAGGACAAAAGCCAGCAAACTAAGGATGAATGAGTGAAAGGAATAAAAGAATATAAGTCCTTTACACCACAAGCTGACCAACTTGGGACTTCCCTCTGGGCTTTGTGTTAGGCCAGAGGCAGCTGGCACAGCCTGTGGGCCAGGGGCAAGAGAAGAGGATCTCTGGGAGTTGCTATCCAGATATGAAACTAGCTTGGTACTGTGAGCACCTGGGCTTGGAGGGTCGCCCACAGGCTGAGCCTTGGGGCACCTACTCAAGCCTTTCTACCACTCGTACAAGAACCAATTTCCAGGTTCTTCCTCCTTCCCCTGGATGTGCTTCCCTTTCTCTCTTCCCTCTTTGGAGTTGGAAGGAGAGAGAGCGTGCCAGAGCAGGAGCTGGAGATCTTCGTTTACTCTGACCTTGCTGCTGCTTACTTTGACCTTGAGCAATTCCTTGTGCCTCTCTGGACCTCAGTTTCACCCTCTGTAAAGTGAGGAGGTTGGGCTAGATCAATAGTTTTCAAACTGGGTGTCGAGGAACACCGAGGGGTTCCCTTTGATGTTATGTTGGTCACCAAGGAGAATAAGGGGGAGGATGACAGGGCCACTCCCCACTGATGTGTTTCATATGTGGAATTTCTGTGTAAAATTTTGTTTGAACAAAAGGACTTTGCTGCCAGTAAAAAAAAAAAAGCACCAGGCTGGAAGATCTCTGAGAAGCTTCAGTTCACTAGGAGGCTCTATAAGACTGTGGGGATGGATAATACGCTGCCTCCTCTGCTGCTGGTTGGGCCCTGGGGTGACAGGGTGGCTATGTGTGTACGAGGTGTAATTAATTAGCTTCCAGGGTGGAAGGCAACAGCCTGTACCAAGACTCATTCTTAGAAACTGGGGTTCCAGCTGCTGCTTCTTACCTGGACTTTTCTTTGGTGTGGTAAAATATATAGAAGAAAATTTACCATCTTAACCATTGTTAAGTGTATGGCTCAGCGGCATTAAGTTCATCATATTGTTAGGCAAGCAACACCACCATCCATCTCCAGATTGAGCTCTTTTCAATCTCGTGTAACTGAAACTCTGTCCCCATTAAACACTAACTCTCCAGTATCCCACCCCACCCAGCTCCTAGCAACCACCCTTCTATTTTCTGTCTCTGCGAATTTGGCTACTCTAGGGACATCATCCAAATGGAATCACGTAATAGTTATCCTTCTATAACTGGCTTATTTCACTTAGCATGATGTCCTCAAGGTTCATCCACGTTATAGCATGTGTCAGAATTTCATTACGTTTTTCTTTTGGTGAGGAAGATTGGCCCTGAGCTAACGTCTGTTGCCAATCTTCCTCTTTTTGCTTAAGGAAGAGTGTCCCTGAGCTACCATCTATGCCAGTCTTCCTCTATTTTGTATGTGGGATGCCACAACAACGTGGCTTGATGAGCACTGTGCAGGTCTACACCTGGGATCTGAACCCACGAACCCCAGGCTGCCAAAGCAGAGCATGTGAACTTAAGCACCATGCCACGGCGCTGGCCCCTACACTGACTTTTTTCCCTCCTTTATCTGCAGCTCCTTTATGAACAGGGCGTCAGCCTCAGGGCCTCCTTCCTCTTCTTCTCTGTCTTCAGTGTCTGGCATGTTGGGCGCACTTTCCTCCTGCTGCCCAGGGGGCACATCCCCTACCCGCTGCCCCCCAACTACTGCTATGGGTAAGGACCATGATCTAGCGATTGTGGGCCAGAGCCCCCCATGTGACCTGGGATGGAAGCATGGGATGGGAAAGTCGTGGTCACAGTAGGGCAGAGGAAACCTGTCACAGGAGAGGAAGACCAGAATGGGTGTGTCAGTTGGCAATTGCTGCATAACAGACACCCCAAAACTCAGTGGCCTGAAACCTTAAGCATTTATTAATTTTCCTGGGTCTGTGGGTAGCTGACGAGTTCTACTGATCAGGGACAGACTGGGATGATCTTGAAAGGGCTCATTCTTGTCTCTGATCATCTAGTGGGCAAGCTCGGGTCTGGCTTGTCTAGGATGACCTCACTCACACGAGTTTTTTCTGGAGGTCATTGGGGGTAACAGGGATGTCTGGGACACCTGGCTCTCATCCTCTGGCAGGCTGGCTTGGGCTTGTGCATGTGATGCTTCCAGGGTTCCAAGAGAGAGAGTGCAGAAATGCACAAGCTTTCTTAATGTTCAGGGCTGGAATTGGCACAGCATCATCTCTGCTGTGTTTTCTTGGCTGAGGCAGCTCACAAGGCCCGCTGCAGATTCAGGGGATGGGGAAATAGTCAGAGCTACAAAATTCCATTGCAAAGCGTGGAGAAGAGAGGAAGTGAAGAAATGTGACGCTTTTCGCAGCTTTTCCCCACAAGCAGTAGAGGGAGAGCTTTCATTTGCTGCTGACTTGCTATCTGCCAGATCCCAACTGCTCTCTAATTTCATCTCACCATGATCCTCTCAGATAGATACCCTTAGCTCCATTTTCCAAATGCGAAAAATGGGGGTCGGAAGGGTTATGTCTGAGCCGTGTTGCCACAGCCAGGAAGAACAAGAGCTGGGATGTGAACTCAGCCTCTCCTACTCTGCCCACGCCTCCAGTGGTTCCCAAGCTTTGCTGGGTATCAGAATCACAGAATCACTTGGAGATGTTCAAAAAGTCTGGAAGCCTGGCTGCCACTCCCAGACACTCTGATTTAACTGGTCTGGCTGTGACTTGGGCTTCGGGGTTGTTAAGAGGTGATTTCACTGTGCTGTGAAACGGGAGATCCCCTGCACTATTCCCTTCAGCCTGAGACTCAGGCTCAGCTCACAGCCCTTGGGCTGGGCTGAGGGGACTTCTGTTTCCACAGCCTGTGCTCTGGGAGGGACAGCAGGGAGGAGGAGCAGAAGACAGTGGAGTCCAAAGAACTGGAGGGACAGTCGGAGTTCGTTTCACCAAAGGAAGGTGAGCCCTGCTGGTGAACCCAGTTCCCTTCAGAACCTGGTCTTCGTGGAGGTCGACCTAGTCCCTCACCTCCAGAGCTTCCCTAGAGACTCAATCAGGAAAGCTCAGATGGAGAAAGGACCTGTGGGGTCTTCTCAACCCCCTCACTTTATAGAGGGTCCAGACAGGGGCAAGACTTTTGTTTCTTTTCTCCTTTCTGTCCCTCTCTTCTTTCTCTCATGTCATTATCACAGTACCCCCTGAATTCCATCTTCCATCATTTTCCTTCCTGTCCCCCGACTCTTCAGTCCTAAGTCTGCCTTATTTGTCCCCATTTCTGCAGGTCTCCTGGGTCTGCCCTCTCACTGTTCCATTTCCATCACCGCCTCTGTTGCCTCCTCATCTCTTGGGTCTTTGGTTACAAACATCACAAACCACTGCTGGCTGAGGTAGAAACAAGAACAGGATTCTGGGAAGCTCACAGAATCAAGAGAAAAATGAACTCTCCAGGCTCCAGGATGAGCAGAACCAGGATACGCCTGGGGGCCCCAGTCGAAAGTCACAGCCACTCTCTAGGGAGAATGAACGGATTGGGCCACTTTGGGTGAGGAACAGAACACTGAATTCACAGGCCCATCGGGACCATGATGAAAAGGGCAGGAGAAGATTTCCAGAAGAAACCAGGATCCTGGTACCGAAAGAGAGGGGATGCAGAGCAGCTGAGACAACAGCTGTCAGCCCCTAACCCACATCTCATGTCTAACTTTCTCCTCTCCTTGTCTTTTTTTCACCATCCTGGCTGAGAAAGATCAGGAAAGTGTTAGTGCAAGAAGTGTCATTGAACTCAAACTGTGAAAGACAGACCAGATTTCAGTCGATGAGAAGAACATGGAGAGGGTCATTCAAGGTGGTAGGGCCGGGATGACCAAGGCGTAGAGGTGAGCATGTGCCACTTGTGGGCAGCTGCGAGAGCACGCCGGATGAGTTCTGGGAGGTAAGAATAGAAGGTGAACGTGGACCTCAGAGTGTTCCATTAAGGCCTCGACACTGCTGTTCACCCTCGTCCTCCACTTTCCTCGTAATTAATGCCCAGATCCTCCTTTCTCCGTCAGAGATCCCAGATCCAGGGCAGCAGAAGGAGCTCCGCTCTTTCTGGGGCTACGCTTTCTCTCGGCGCTTTGCCTGGCACCTGATGTGGCTGTCCATGATGCAATTGTGGCATTACATCTTTATCGGCACCCTCAACTCTCTGCTCACCACCCCAGCCAAGGGCACTAGGTATGTGGTGGGGCTGGGAGGCATCCCATCTGTGCATCCCAGTTGGGGACTTGGAACCTTGAGTGGTGTGGGGTGCTAAGCCCAGTAGGGCTATGTGCTCCAGAGAAAGGTGTGAGCAGGGATGTGGGGAGGATGGTCGGTCAGGGCAGGGTGGGAGGGTCCCCTCCTGTAAGGCAGTCCTGGAAATTTCTTATCTCTCAACCCTTCCCTGCCCTCTGCAGTCAGCATCTACACAAATGCCTTTGCCATCACTCAGTTCTTCGGAGTGCTCTGTGCCCCCTGGAATGGCCTGCTCACGGACCTGCTTAAACAGAGGTACCAGAAGAAAGCGAGCAAGACAGGTGAGACCTGGGCTCGGGAGCATCAGGGAACCAGGAGAGGAGAGATCTTCATTTACCTGTCTGCCCATCTTCTCTTTTGTTCTTAATCTTTTTCTACTTGCATCCATCCGTCTATCCCTCCATTCCTCCATCCATCTATCCATCTGTCTGTCTAACCACTAGTCGCTGAGTGCCAATTATGGGCCAGACATAGATCAGATTCAACAACGGACAAGACAGATATGTCGTTGTTCTCAGTGTAGAGAGTGGAGAAAGGCAAGTCATTAGGCATTACAATCCATGAAGGAAACCCACAGGGGGCTGTGGGGACACAATAAGGGCACACAGCCTGTTCCAGATGAGGATGAGATCGGTGTATGGGAAGGCTTCCTGGAGAAAGTGGCATCTAAGCTGAAACCTGAAGGATGAGTCAGAAGTGAGGAGATGAAGAGGAGGGCCCCGGGAGAGTGGCCCAAGAATACGGTGGGCTGAAGGTGGGGTCAAGGTTGTGAAGGAGAGAGGGAAACCTTGAGGACTCCGAGGAATCCCTTCAAGTGATTCAAGGACTGGCCGGTGGTGTAGTGGTTAAGTTCAGCACTCTCTGCTCTGGTGGCCCAGGTTCGTGGGTTAGGATCCCAGGTGCAGACCTACACCACTCATCAGCCATGCTGCGGTGGCAACCCACATACAAAATAGAGGAAGATTGGCACAGATGTTAGCTCAGGGTGAATCTTCCTCAGCAAAAAAAAAAAAAAAAAAAAAAAAAAAAAGTAATTCAGGCTGGCCAGAGTACAAAGAAGTATGGAAGGGGCTGGAGAGAGAGCCGTGAGAAGGGGCAGGCTATGTCCCATGCCAAGAAGGTTTGACAAGCTCCTTGGACATAAGTCAAGGAACAGAGGGGTGCTGAGGTATTTTAACCTGCAGGGGTTGGGGATGGGGAGGGACAAAAGTAGAGAGTAACATTTCTCCTATGACTTTCATCTACACCCCTCCCTGACTCCCCTGCCCTGCTTCTCCTACCCTGCTGGAGTGTTCTACAGCAAATCTCAGTCATCAAACCATTTCATCTGTAAATACTTCAGTTTGTACCTCTAACGGATAAGCCCTCTTTTACTTAAATATCACCATAGTATCATTATCACATCTAAAAAAACCCTCAATGATTTCTTAATATCATCTACTATGCACTCTGCTCAAACTTCCCTAATTGTCTCAAATATGTCTTTTTACAGTTAATTTGTTCAAATTAAGAGCCACACAGTATATTTTGCTGATGTGCCTTTTATGTCTTTTTACACGTATAAGCATTGGCTCCCACATGCTTTTTGTCCTTGTTTATTTGTTGAAGAAATGGGATGGTTTGTTCTGTCACATTTCCACATTTTGGATTTGGCATCCTTTTGGTGTGATTTAAAATGTTTCTCTGGCTATTTCCTGTAAACACACAGGTTGGAAGCTCAAGGAGCCTCAGTTTAATATTTTTGGCAAGAGTAATTCAAAGGTGGAGCTGTGGGCTTCCTAAGGGCTCCCGTCAGCAGGCCCCTGGTACCCATTGTCCTGTTCTTATCATGTTAAGATTGATCAATGGGCTCAGACATTGTCAGTCTCATCCACTTATTATAAAGTTTCCCATCGACTGTGCGCCTGATGATTGTATCAGCCGTTGATAATCAATGCCTAGACCCAGTATTTTATTAGGGTTGCAAACTGGTGATTTCCTATTTCCATCTTTCCTTCTGCTTTCAACAGCGAGAATTCCTTTAGAAAGAAAAACTTCCCCTTATTAACTATTTTGTTACCCTGGCATAAATGCTTGCTTTCTCTTCTTGTCACCAATTTTGAGAATACTGAATTGATGCCCTAGCAACCTCCAGGGGTGACTACTCATTGTTTCTCTTTCAAAGTCTCGTTTTAAATATACTTGATGTGTTTCAATCCATTTTCACCACGATTCCTTTTGATCTTCAAATCATCACATCTTTGGCCATTGGGAACTTTACCAATCCAGTATCTGTGTCCTTTAGACATCATCCCATTAGTTTTAGACAGTGTCTTAAGTTTCTAGCACAACGAGATATTCACATCCATCTGATCAGGTATGTTTCCTATCCCAGACCTGAAACCAGCCATTTCTCCAAGTAACGCTGGGTCCCTTTAATGGGAAATGGTATTTAAAGACTGTAGTCTGCATGGTGGCATTTCTAATTCTCCTGGGTTGTCATTGCTTTTGGGCTTTATAGAGTTAAAGCATACATAATTTTTTGGAAGAAAAAATGCATCATGAATGCCTAATAATGATACTTTAATTCAAATTTTACTTCCTTAATTTTACATTCGTATCTCTTTTTCTCTTCCTCTGAAAATCTTGGTTCCTAACAATACGATACAGACACACACACGTATAGAATTTTAAAAGTATGTTTTATATATTATCAGTGGTTTTAGCAATGTTGATACTATTAATAAAAATACTGTGGCTGAATGCTGTGCCTCTCTGGCTCTGTCCTTCCATCCTTCCGTGCTTCCTTCCATTCTCCTCCTTAGCATATATCCCACAAGAGGATGTACAGTCAAATCACTGTTTTAAGAATCACCAACTTGACATAAAGTTGTGTTCATTGGCTTCATTTTGTTCCTGATTTTGGAGGGTTGCTTTGCTTGTTCTCTTCCTATTATTTTATTTTAATTGAATTTTTAAACATTTGTATATCAAACATTTACATTTTCCCAAAGCCAAAACCATGAAACAATATACATTCAAAGAAGCTTAGATTTCCTCTCTGTTCCCTGCACCCTATTCCTTCCCTCTGTCTTTAGGCAATGATCTTTTTCTTAAAGACAGACTATATGGACATAATTTCACTCTCAGATAAAGGCCACATACTGCACGCCCTGTTCTGCGGTCTTCCTTCTGTGTGACTCTCTGTCCCGAGGATGCTCCCCAGCAGGGCCTTCTGCTCACTCCTCTCACGCTGCCTAGTTATCCGTGACGGGGCTGAAGGACAGCCAAGACAGCTGTCCCTCCGGATGGCTGTTTGGATCGCCCCTGTCTTTTGTTAGTACCTGTCATGCTACACAGAATGCCTGGCTACAGGTTGCAGGGGCCAGAGCAGGTGGGCCTGTTAGGAGGCCATTGTAATCTGTGCAATCTGTGAGTGAGTGATGGTGGTTTAAAAGTAGCATGAGTTGGTGGGGATGGAGAAGAGTGGATACATTTGAATGATAATTGGGAGGTGGATCATCAACATTCATTGATGGACTGGAGATGGGGCATGCGGGAGAAAGAGGATTCGAGGATGACCCCCTGGGTTTCTGCCTGGAGAGTTAGATGGATGGTGGCTCCTCCCTTTACCCAGATCTCTCTTGCCTCCTTCCTGCCCTCCATTGTGCCCGCTTGCAGGCAGCCCCTCCTCTTCCCTTTTGGACCAGGTTTCTCAGCCTCGGCGGTGGCCCTTTGCTCCACGGTTCCTTGTCTGGCCCTGACGTCTCTGTTGTGCCTGGGCTTCGCCCTCTGTGCCTCAGTCCCTGTCCTCCCCCTCCAGTACATCACCTTCATCCTGCAAGTGATCAGCCGCTCCTTCCTCTATGGGGGCAATGCTGCCTTCCTGACCCTTGCGTAAGTGGGCTTGGGGTGCGTTACATAATGGGGGACACACGGGGCAAAGGGAAGTGTGCCGGAGGCACAGAAATTGGGAGGTGTTGATGGGCCTGAGATGGTCAGGTGATGGAGACAGGGTCTGGGAGCAGGCGTAGAGGGTGGTGCCTGGAGGTGAGGCTGGCCAGAGGAGTAGAGCTTTCATGTACTTGAGCCTTCGTATCAGCTCTCCCTCTGCCTCTGTTCTCTACCTGGTGAATGCTTATTCACCCTCCGAGGCCCACTTCTGTTCCAACACTCCCAGGGAAGAGTTGGAAAGAAAGTGTCTTCCATTATTTGTGCCTTGGGCACTCTATTCCTGCTGCATTTGATGGTGCACACATCATATGGCATATAGTGATGTGTTTTTGTGTTCATCTTTTTCTTGCAACTTCCCTGGGGTGCAGCGTGTGTCTGGGTCCCTGCTGTTTTCCCACTGTCAAGCACAATAACTTCTCTGTGTTCTGTGGTTTGAAAGCCTGACCAAAGGCAAAGGGGACAGGGCTGTGTGGGTGAGGGTGGGTGAAGGCAGGACGAGGACAGGGGAGTTGTGAACAAGTAGCTGACAAAGGCCCACCCAGATGAGACCCTGCTTGGAGGGAGGGTCCCTGAGTCTCGCTGGAACCCCATTTGTCTCTCTCCCAGTTTCCCTCCAGAACACTTTGGGAAGATCTTTGGGCTAGTGATGGCCTTGTCAGCCATTGTGTCTCTGCTCCAGTTCCTCATCTTCACCTTCATCAAGGGCCCCCTCCAGAATGACCCATTCTACGTGAGTATTGTGGGCCTCAGACCACCAAGGACATCCAGATCGGGGTGACTCAATGGGCACCCAGCATGGGGAGCCCCAAATCTGGCTGAGCTATTTCCTGCAGGAACATTGCTGCACATGGGTACATCCTTGGTCTTTCTTCTCAAACTGGGGTCAGTGGGAGCACCCTGCCTTGTGCTGTGGGTACCTGACACCACAGGGCTATCATGGGGTGGCTTCCCAGGGGGCCCACGTTCTTCAGAGATTTGGGGAGTAAATATTTTTTTATGTGTGTGGAGACAAGTAATCATATTCTAGAGGAGAACGCAAAATCCTCACAATGATTCATGAAAACCTAAGACTTCAAAGATATTCCTGCTTGTGATGAGCACAGGCGGACCTTGTCCTCAGGCTTAGGGATGCAACGTGCATTGGTTTCCACAGCTGATCTGAGTGGCAGGAGCTCTGTGCTCTCATCCCTGGATCACCACACCACCAGGGATGCTCACCTGCCCAGCCCTGGGAGGTGGGCTTGACTCTCCAGCTGTTTGAGATAGAAGAAACAGACCCTCAAAGATTTGGGTTGTGTGACTTGTATGTTCAGAAGCCCACAGCAAAGGAGCAGAAGTCCTTTCACTTTGAATTCAGTTTTCTGACCACTGCACAGCCCTTTAGCTGCATTTTAAAAAGATCAGCAAAGTGTAGAACAGGAGTATAAATCAGTCATTGGGAGAAAAAAAAAAAAAAAAGCCCTGAACTGAAAGACTGAGGAGAATTAGTTGGTTGTGATATCGGAGCACCCTAACTGAGTATTTGGAAGATATAATGTAGCTCTGGTCCCTCTGTCAGCTTCCTGTGTGACCATGAGCTGGTCACTGAATGCCGCCTGGACCTCCCTTTCTTCATCCATGAAATGGGCACAGTATCCCTCCCCACCTGGCTCCACAAGGCAGAATGAAACGTAATGCAGAGTCCTTCCTCCAGGGCACCAGAGTGTCTGAGTGGAAAGTGGAAGATAAACTAGGCGGAATTCTGGTCCCCTCATTGGTGGTGGGCATTGCTCAGAGTTCCTGGACTTCACCTCCCTCCTTCCTGTCTCCCTCCAGGTGAACGTGATGCTGGTGCTCGTCACTCTTCTGACGTTCATGCACCCCTTCTTGGTGTATGGAGAGTGCCAGCGGAAGGAAGGCCCCCCTGCAATTGCTTAGTTCGGGAGCCCTCCCTTTTCAGTGCTGCAGATGCTTTTGCTAATCTTCCCCTCCCTTTGAGGACCCCGTATCCAGAAACTCTTTGCTCACTCAGGCTTCTTGTATTAAGCAGACATTACTTTTTCTTAAATAAAGGAAGACACGTAACTGCTAGCTGAGACTTCCGATAGGTAGGAAAAGAATTTCAATGCCAAGCTGATTGATACCATACAGACCCAAAGCAAAAGCTTGTGGAAGTTCTCCTTAGTCCCAGAGCAGGACGCACATGGCCTTGGCAGACCCTTGACCCGAAGGGAGGTGCTGTGCTGGGAGAGGAGATGTGTCACCTGCTTCTCTAGGCCTCTTTGGCCCTGAAGCCCATGTGTGCCTGGGCCCTGTACCACCAGGTAAATTCCCAGGTGAAGGGTGAGGTTGTCATGGCCTCAGCTATGCCCCCTGGCATTTGGAGGTGGTGCCCAGCTCTCCCTCAAAGGCACAGCGTTGGTTAGAGAGTGGCAGCGACAAAGGCTTGGTTAGAGAGCCTTGGGAGAATGAGCAGAACCGGGTGGGGTGGGGAGGCCCCTGGACCTGAGATCCATCTCTGCCACTGATGCTGGAGGCCCTTGAGCAGACCCTCCTCTGGGCTGAGCATCAGTTTTCCCATCTGTAAAATGAGAGGATTCTGGAATTGGAAGTTCTTTCTGAAGCTAACATTCTAGAAGGTTTTAAGAGGAGTGGCAGAGAATCAGGCCACCCAGAGAGCCTTGGTCACCAGCTGGCCTGCTCGACTGAAGGATTTCTGACAAAGCCTCTTAGGGATGTTTTCCTCAACAAGAAAGGAGATGATGATTGACTTTGGGAATTAGATAAAAATGTTCTTGGGAGAAGAATTTTGCAGAACAATCATTTCTTTCTGCTTAAGGCAACTACTGTTTCACCACTTCAGGCCTGGGTGCTGTTGTGTGTTTGTGTGTGTGTGTTCCTGCCTCATGCCCCAGCTTCCTGGGGAGTGGACACAGGAGTGGAGTCGAGGAATCTGGCTTCAGCATCCTGATGTGGCAGCTGGACCCAGAGAGGGGTAGGAGCCTTCAGACTGGTATCCAGCTACCTGGTTCTGCACCCTCACCCCCTCCCAGGAGTCCCTTCCTTTGCCTCCTCTTCCTCTGTACCCCATCCTACTCCCACCACAATACTCCCCACCCCCAGCTGGAAGCACTAGATGGAATCAGAAGGGCCCCGGGTGAGTCTCAGTTCTGCCATCCAACATCTGGGCAAGTCCCTTAACCATTCTGGATCACAACTTCCTCACCTGCAAAAAGCAATGAATCATTTCTATAACTGAGGGCGAGAGTGAGAATTTAAAGTAATTGCTACTGCCTAGCCCATGGTGGGAGCATGTGCACATTTGTTCCTTCATTTACTCATGACCAGAAAGGAAAAGGGTAGCAAGGAGGGAGAAGGGGAGGGACCTGGAGGGAGAGAGATGGTAGGTGGGTGAGATGGGACAAACTGGAATACACCAGGTGTTTCCTCCCACTTAGCCCTGAGAGGGGCTGGGACAGGACAGTGAGGGGGAGGGCGCTGGCAGGCAGATTCATTCATCCAATCAGTCTGTCCATCAACAAATGTTTATGGAGCCTCTACAATGCATCAGGCACCGTCCTAGGGGCTGGGGATACAGAGATACACAAAGGGCTGAAACACAGCTCTTCTGTGAACAGCTGGAAGGGTAATTTCCAGGGGCCTGGGGACATCAGAGTGCTCATGAATGGTTTTCATCTTGTCTTGCTCCAAAACTTTCCGCGGCTTCCTGCTGTCCATGGGGCAAACCTCAGACTCCAGCCTGGCACTCACAGCTCTCAGCAATGTGATTCCAACCACTCCCCTACCTTCCTCACCCCCTTCACTTCCCACCTCCAGGAGGACAGAATTCATTCTTGTGGACCAAGGTTCCTGGTCTGGGCATCTGTGAGCACACCAGTTCCTCTGCATGTTGGCTCCTCCCATCTCTGCTGGGGAAATTTGCCTGGTCTACTGGGGTCCTGTTCAAAATGCCGTCTTCTCTCAAAATCTTTCCTTGGGCTCTCCAACAGCTCTGAGTTCTCGGCACTTGGTCACACCCTTTTTGGTGACTGGCACCTGCCTCCTTGCATGATGACCTCTCCTCACCTGGACAGCCAACTCCAGGAGGTGGCATATGGGTCTTTCCTGGGTCAGTGACTAATGCATACTTGCTGTCCATGTGGTGCTGGTTAGGGCTCGTTGAATGAATGATCACTGAATGACTGAATTCTTTCTTGTTCTGGCCTCAGTGCCAACTGGAAGGAGAGAACAGAGCACATGGGGGTGGGATGGGGCAGTGGGAAGAACATGAACTGGGGGGCCAGGCCAACCCTTTTTTCATCCCGGCTCTGTCACTACTGTGACCTTGGATGGGCCACTTCACCACTACAACTCAGTTTCTTTATCAGTATAAAGGGAGAAATAGACCTGCCCTCTGGACTGTTGCAAGGATTAGAAATTAGGTCAAGTGCCTAGCACATGGTAGGTACTCAACAGATGATAGCTATGATTGCAGTTAACATATTAAGTCAAAAAGGATGCCTAATGCCCATCAACTGGTGAATGGATAAATCAACTGTAGTGTATTTATACAATGGAATATTATTTGGCAATGAACAGGAACGTGGTATTGACACATGCTATGACGTGGATGAACCTTGAAAAGATTATGCTAAGTGAAAGATGCCAGTCGCTAGAGACTGCATACAGTGTGACTCCATTTATATGAAATGTCCAGATGAGGCAACTCTCTAGAAGCAGAAAGTAGATTAGTGATTGCCTAGAGCTGGGCAAGGTGGTAGTGAGTGCTAATGGGTAAGGGGTTCTTTTTAGGGTGATGAAACTTTTCTAAAATTGATAGTGTTTGTACACCTCTGAATATACTAAAAGCCATTGAATTGTATACACTTCAAATGGGTGACTTGTATGTGAATATATCTCCATAAAGCCGATACTAAAAAAGATGTCTGGAAAATTGCCTTAATCTTAAAGGTATAGACAAGATCAATATATTTTCCTTGAGTTTTAGTTGGAGAAATAGAATGGGATATTAAAAAATCATTGTGGTACATTTAAATACATTGAATTTAAATCAGAATTACCATTTTTTAGAAAAGTGTCATTGGATTAAAAAAGATAAAAAATTGTGTTAAAAACGTGAAAAAAGGAAAAAGATGTCTGGATCCCTCAGCAAGTGCAGGAAACACTTGGATCTAGAGAGAGAGAAGCACAGCTGTGTGGACAGCTGCCTCTTTCTGCCCCAAGAGCCCCTTGCTGCAACTTCTTCCCCAGATGGGACCAACTGTTCTTTTAAATGAGGAAGCAAGCAACAGGGGTTTCACAAGTTTTGGGTTCCTGGTGCAACCCTCCTCTCCAGCTCCAGCCTCAGCAGAGAGGAACTGGAGGCAAGTCTCCTCCTCCACAGGCCGTGGTGCCGGACGGGGCCTCTCCTGGGGCAGAGGACACTTCCATGAGGAGCAGAGTGCCTGCAGTTTAAAGAACAGCTGGACAAGTAGAATAAAATAAACAACAGCTGACAGCCGGAATCAGGAACTCTGTGTGACAATCTCCTTTCACCCGCCACATTTTACAGATGAGGAGAGTTAGGCTCTGAGCGGCAAGTTATGTCCAAGAGCATCTGTCTGGCTCATTGTGGAGCTGGCGTTTAGACCCAGATTTGTCTGTCTCCTAAGGTCACGTTCATTTTAGGTGTTACCTTCTCTTTACATTCATTCTTACGTCAGAAACATGTGGTGGTTGTAAAAGAAGTCAGAAAAAAAAGAAGTGCATGAAAAACAAATATCGTTGTTAACTGCACTGCTCAGAAATGACCATGGTTAACACGTTTGTATGTACGCCTCTCATCATGTGACTATGTGTGTGATAAGGGAAATGATCTCATAGACTTTTCTTTGTCGTCAAATAGTCGTCCAAAACGTGATTGTAAGTGGCTGCTTACAAGCCCATCTTAGGTCGATGTCACATTTTATTTATGCCCCAGCCACCCCGTCCTGGGGGCTCCCCTCACTCACATCTTGGGACATTGGGCCCACCCCATTCTGTTCCCCCTCTGCTGCCTCAGCTGGCATCGGGGCTGCCTCCTGACAGGAAACCGTGAGCGCAGCCTAGGTCAGCACACTGGAGAGTGTGCCTAATAAGAGAACTCAGGGGTCCAGATGTTGCCAGAGAGCCACCTTTGGAGCTTCTAGAGATGACGTCCATCCATTCATCATCATGTGTGAATCTGGTGCTAGCTGTTGTTCAGCCAAAGGTGTTGGCTGCCCGCTTCCCAGGTGCTGTCGACCCTCTTCCCTAAATTTAAAGCTTGGGGGCAAAGACTCCAGTGGTTATTCCTGGAGCTCCTCTTCCTGCCAGACCCCCAGGGGATAGATGATCCCCAAATGTGCTGGGTGTGACTCCAGGGCACAGAGAGGGTGCCTCCTCTAACATTCATTGGAAAGGACACTGCATCCAGGTATCAAGGCACGGGCTCCGATCCGTCCGTTCTTTGGCGATGACAATTTCCTGGGTGGGACACATCTGACCCCTCCTGGGCACACTGCAACCCATGTCTCTGTGCACAGCGGGGCTGACTTACTGGCAGGTTCATTAAACCCAGGACCACAGCTTGTGGTCTCACCAGCCCCCACTCCAGGGGTTTTGATTTCTTTTTGCTAACCTCACACATGTGCTTATCGGCCTCTCAGCATTCTGTTTCCTGAGTCCAGTGTTCCTTCCCAGGCCTGAAGGTGGACTCAAGCAGTAGGTGCATGAGACAGGCTCTGGGCTTTGCAAGCACAGACCAGCTGTGTGACCTTGAAGAAACCCTTAATCATGTGGAGCCTCAGTTTCCTCCCCTGTAACGGAGAAAATAAGTACCACGGGGACTTGTAGGGAGGACTAGAGAGAACATTTGGGAATAAAAGGTGGAGGCAGCTCGGGCTCTGCGGCTGGACTGT